CGGCTTCTGCATCTTGTCGTGCCGAGATCGAGATACCAAGCTTGTCAATGGTTTCAAGGATGGTAGCTGACTTCGTTGGTTTGACCCAGGGCATACCATCGACGGGCCCGAACTCTACTGCAGTAATATTGTCACCATCGCGTAGTAGTATCTTCAAAATCTCGGAGATATCCTTCCCCGCAGATGCAGCAAGAACCCATGTAACAGGTTTACCGCAAACTCGGAGTCGTTTTTCAACGAACGCCGACAGGACGTTTGCACTCTGGGGGTTATGGGCGCCATCCAGGAGGACGGGTTCTGCCCTTCCGGTGATCTTCTTAATGCTAATAGATTGCAGTCGACCAGGCCATACAGCACTTGCACCTGTCCTCAGGAGCTCCTGCGTCGACATAGCGTGTCCAGGATAAGCAAGGCGGAATGCCTCGTACGCACAAAGTAGATTCTGCTGCTGGTGTGGTTCGAGTTCATGGAGTGTATCTCCGAGGCCAGTTGTTGGCAACCTTGCATGCGTGATGCTGGCGCTCAGTGCTTCAGCTTGCGATCGGATCACCTCTAATATAGACGGGGGGTTACTCGCGTCGACTACGCAGGGCACGTTAGGCCGTATTATGCCTGCCTTTTGGATGGCTATTTCTTCCAGGGTGTTGCCTAGAAAAGACTGGTGGTCAAGGCCGATCTTGGAGATGATGGTCACAGTCTTTTGTTTCAGGGCATTGGTGGCATCCAGTCGCCCGCCGAGTCCGACTTCGATGACTCCGAACTCGACCTGCTCATCTTCGAAGATCTCAAAAGCGGTGGCGGTGAGCAGCTCAAACTCGCTTGCATTAAGGCGCTGCTCTTCATTCCGCTTCTTGACCAGTGCTTCGAAATGCTGAAACTTGTTTTCAGACACGGCGCTATCGTTGATCGTGATGCAATCCCAGCGGTCGACGAGGTGAGGCGACGTGAACCTACCACACGACACGCGATTGGCGCGCAGCATGGCATTGAGATATGCACATATCGAACCCTTGCCATTCGTGCCGGCGACATGGATGGCTTTCCAGGTCTGTGGAGTGCCCTTCAGGAGGGCGGTGATGCGTGCCAGCCCCAGCTCGATCATCTTGGCCCGCCTCTTGCCGTGTCTTGCTATGCAGCTGCTAATTAATGATTGGCTGAAATCACAGGTTCTTCATCTCATCATCTCTCATCGAAACCGGCGGGCCTAGGCAATGGTTTGTTGTGGACTCTGGTTGAACTGTTGTTGTTTACATATGAGAGTGAGTCATCGTTTTGATGCGTCCTGGATCTCGGATATCTCGTATGATATACTATGCCATAGATTTGAAGAGCCATAGCTAAGCCTCCCGTCTAGATAGGTACTTCTCAGCCTATTATTTGTGGGCTCCTACCAATATCAGCGGCAATGCCCAGCAACACTAGCATTTTATGTGGGACACGCTAATATGCAGCATAGGTACATGGCCACTACAAAAGATGCTCAAAAGTTAAGAAGGTACGTGAAAGAGCGGCGTGATCAGGCCATTATTATACGCGGATCGTGCATCCTTTTATGTATCCATTAGCGGCATGCTAGTGGACGGTACGGACTGTCGTCTACCCACCACTTTGGGTGCCTTTGTGCCACTGCCAGGTTTGGCCCCCACTCTTTTGCGCCATGTGAGCAGTTTCATTGGCGGATTCCTGGCTTTCTTGTATGGCGCCCGGCCTACGAGATTCGACATCTGGGGGCTTTCCCTCTCTGTTTTGGATTCCTTGTTTCCCGCCGCCGCCGCCTTCTTTTCTCTCCATTCATTAATCAATCACCAGGGACGCCCTGACCCCCTCGAAGGAATCCATCTTTTCCCATCGGCAACCAACTAATCATAAACCGCAGCTTTTCGAATAGATTTCCTATTTCTGCTGCGCGCGCATATTCATCATACCCATCCATATTATTATTTCGTCTCTGCGTGGCCACTGTGCACCGACCCATCAAACATATTATCGTATCGTATCGTATCCCATCTTATCTATCTATTATTTCCACGGTCATTACAGGGCGCTGTTTTGCCCCGTCGCGACCTCTATCTCTGTGCACTGTAATATTCAACCCCCGACCCCGTCCTCGCACGCGTTGTGCACTCCCCTTGTTCCCCTTGTCTCGCTCCAGCCAGCCAGCCAGCCTCGCTCTGTCGCCGGTTGCTGCTGCTCCGCTCTCCGTCCCAAGCCCGTCCTCCGCTGTGGTCCGTACCCGATTGCCCGTTACCACACGCGCGCTTGCGCCCGTCGCGAAGCAACTCACTACCAGATAAAATGGGTCTCCCGTAAGTCGTCCGAATCGCGCGACGCGCATGCGCATGCGCCCGTGCCACCCAACATGCTTTTGCGACGATATCGTAGCCGCCGCGATTGCGATTGCGATTGCGATCGCTGCATTACTCAAGTTTCCTCGCTGCAGTTCTTGGCTTAGAGCATGGAATGCACCGCGCGCCCTGGCTGTCAGCCAATTCGCCAGTCATCCCTTCAACCAGCAACCAGTCAGCCAGCACTTGCGCTACCCCTCATTGCGCCGCAACCCTAACTAACACCACATGTGTTCTCTTCAGGCTCTTCATCCCCCCTGTCGAATCCGACGTACCACCCAAGCCCTCCGCAAAAGTAGACCCATCCCATGCGCGATCTCCAATACGTCGCGCCGACCGTGAGCGCCGCCGCCACCTCCAAGAAGCTCGGGAACAACGCATTCGCATGTTAGCCGCTTTGCAAGCCCGCGAACACAACACCCCCCATGGACGAAATACTATACCTCCTTCATCTACCATACGGTCCATTGCTCGCCCCCTCGAGATACACCGTGTGCCTGGACGCCAGAGTCCTCGCTTGGAAAACCCCCGGATATCGGAGCTCAACCAGCACCTTGAGCTTGAGCGGCGCTATTTTAGTCAGGCAATGAACGGCGAGCTGTCGCGAGACCTCGCCGCAGACGACCTTGATGATGAGCTCAACCCTATAGAGGCTCAGCTGGCACTTGGGCCTGTGTACCGTGAGCCTGTTGATCTTCAGCATGCTATCTTCCGCTACAGGCCTGTCAGATATAGTACTTCCGGCCTTCCTGGGCGTTCAACAATATTCAGGCGCGAGATTGACCACGAGAATGACGAGTCGCGTCATCGCCGGCGGCGTCATATCGAACATTTGACCCAACCCGTCTCTGTAAACCCCACAGCAGGTCCCCGCCATCCACAGCGCGTCAGATACGTTGATGGACTCGGAGATCGGGATCGCAGTCTCAGCCCTGGTAGTGACGCTGGAGTGTGGGATACGCTGCAATCCACCTTGACTCCCGATCCTCAGCCACCAAGTGTGGGCTCTTCTTTTACATCAACCGCTGTCTCTGCCACCACACAAGTCAATGGGACCGACTCAGTAAACACGTCGATGACCACTCCAAATGAGGAGACAGAGCCCCCTTGTGATCCCGTTTTGGATAACTCTGCAAGTGACGGCGAGGATGATATCGGTGCCCAACCAATCGTGCCCTCGCGAGATATCATACGATATGCCAATGCTGTGATAGCTGAGCGTTCTCGAGGGTTCTCGAGGCAGTCGCCAGAATCCACCGACACACGCGACCCCCGCCGCTCCTATGCCGATGTTGTGGCTGAACCGTTCTCGAGGCAGTCACCAGAATCCGCCGACACCAACGACCCTGAATGGTTATCAGGCATGCACCGAATCGTGCAGAACCTCGCTCAACGGGTAGACATTCCTGATGAGTGGTGGCTTCAGGCAGGGTTGTCCCGCTCAATGTCATGGGAAGACTCTAATTAACATTAAATCAAAACGGCGACTTGTTGGAAAGAGCACTATATTGTTTAGTGCTGGCGATGATGATGAAAATCTTGGCATTTAATCTGTCTGGAGAGGCACGGCCGGCGTCGGGAGTATAATGGTCAAAATTTCTTGCAGCAAAATGAGGTGGTCGAGACATCGCTCGAGTTTTACGCTCGCCGATGTATCCAGACATGTATGATAACTTGTATTACGACCGGATGGGACTGGGAAATGGCCGCGGTTCTGTGTCTTTCCGGGCTATCAAGAGTCTGATCTTGCTATATTTTGGGTGGATGTTTTAGAGTGAGATGGCTATCTAAGATCGAGTCTTTCCACTGCCTATTCGACGAATCGATATAATATTTTGGGCATATTCGTCCATTTTGCACGCTTCTAGTCTAGTCTGATAGCGTTTACATGTCTGAACATCTCCGTGCCAATTTACTTGCCGTGATAACTAGTAGCATTATCACTAAGTTGAAAGTTAGAGGATGGAAGGAAAGCGAAGCTGAGGCTTGATGTGATAGGCGTAGATAATGCTGCACTCGAGTGGAACTATAAAAATACAGGATCCCTTCTATCAAAGTTGCGACCCTGCACACGGCACCAATACTTCTGCTAATAATTGTGCCATCCGTTTGACTGGTAGCTGATAGCAACGATCAAGGAACGGGGAAACGAGAAAACGAGCGAATCATTTTGAGGGTGATCAGATAGACTTCCGTATTCAGTCTCGAGCCGGGGTTATAAGTTGGCAGCTGTGTCACCACTCGGAAACAATGCTACGCGGCATGGATTATCCTAGTGTGACTTGTGCCGAGACATGCAACTTGCTTAAACATCGTGACTTTGCAGGCAGTGCTAGCAGCCCAGCCACCTGTGGCTAGAGACTATGTATAGTAGACGCCGCTTAGTTGCTCATTGCTTTCTTATATATTTAGAGATTTATTGCTCGAGTTCACCCACTCATCTAGGCTAGCTTCCTATCTCACCCTCTATTACGAGTTGGCCCAGTCTCACGACGCAATCATAAGTCTATTCGCATGTGGAAAGCTTATGAAAATCACGAGACAGGGATATAAAACTTCAGCCTCCCTATTTTGATCACTTACCTTTAGTAAAAACAAGATGCCGTAAGTTAAAAACGTTGTGTACACGAGGGGAAAAAAAGAAAAAGGAAGAGCTGCCCACCCTTGGAATCGAACCAAGACTCCCTGAAGGCTCCGTCGGGCTTATCCTCCTACTCGGTATTACTTTCTTTTGGTAGTGCAGTCGCCGGTTCAGCACTCTCAGGGCGCGTTTTCCATTACGCTAGATGGGCTGGTGGTTTGTTGAGGAGAGGTACCGCTAGCACTGTATATAAGGAATTGATGGAGCCATTGTGCAGCATAAACTGGTTAGGGGCTGTTTATTCGCTTTGCTAGTAATCTGGATGGAAGCAGGAGACAAGTAGAAATGAGGCAGCTAAAAAGGACGCATGACTTTTATTAATAGGCTGTAAACTCACTATATAAGCCTTAAGGGGTCAAGGGGTCTTTGATATCGTGTTAATATGAAAAAGAGAGTATCCTTCCAAACCCTCATTATAATTACTCCTTTATCCGTCCTTGTGTTGGTGTTGCGTCCAACTCATGAATTTGATTGCCGACTAACTCTGGCGGCACTACAGGTAGCTCAACCAGCGGATCATCAGGCTTCTCTTGTATAATCCCTTCCCCACTCATTTCTGGTAGAGTTGGCTGTGTGGCTGGTTTGGCGACATCTTGCTGACTGGACTGTGTCTGATTTCTCTCTGCCAGCACCCTTCGTTGGCGTTGGAGACGGAGTAACATCCACGTTCCAGCAGCTAGAGCAAGGACGAAGATTCCGACTCCAACACCGATGCCTGCTTGAGCCCCTTTTGTTAAGGCTGAGGATCTCATCGCTGATGTGTCGGCCCCATTGTCAGTGCCATTGCAGACAAGGTTATGAATTAAGCTGTCCCGCTGCTGAGAAACCAATTTCGAGCAGTTAAAGTCATCATTCCAAGCTTCGATTGTGACAGTGCCAGACACTAGGCTTAAAGCAGGGAATATGTTTGGGCCAGGAGAGCTATGAACTTATTCAGTCCGAATTCAACAGGAGAGGAGGAGAGGAGTCTTAAGCTGACGTATCAATAATCCCGCGAAGGAGTATGTTTCCGGCCTTGGCAAGATTAGGAAACAAGGGGAGGACTGTATCAATGTTGTCTGTGAGAGACAAATTTCCTACTTCCTCAAGGCGACTGATGTCAAAAGTGCAGTTCGTGTTGTTCGTAATGGCAAGCTCTGCTCCGATAGTTGCGAGCTTGCTCAAGTCGAAGGCAAAGTCCGAGTTCGACGTGATGTCTACATCTTTCCCGACCGTTGATATGTAGGTTAAGTCCACAGGTTCACGCCCTGAATCAGCGGCACCTGATCCTGTAATTGACGGCCCAACCACTAGGGTCTCGTTCACTTGCAACGATGTGATTGTTAGAGGATATGAGGGATGTTCGATAGTCAAGTTGTTAACCGTTGATAATTGAGCAAGCTTCGAGCTCACGAAACAATCATCGTTCTCAGAAATGGACAGGTCGTACACAGATTCGACATTAGGGGTGATGCATGTACCGCCATCCATTGAGTAGACGTAAGTGATATCCTCGAAGCCGTCAAAGATGGTGGAATCATTGACAGTCAGGTACCCTATTGAGGTGGTGTTCAGAGTAATGCTTTCTAAGCTATGTGCTCCCCTAATAGCCACCTGAAGTAAGGGTTGGATGACTTTTGAATTGGGATTCTGATGCAAGATAACGAATTGCTTGGTTTTTATGCTTGGCATAGAGACAGTTGTAAGGTGGGTTGCATCCTGTAATTTCAGTGATTGAAGATAGAAGCTCAGCGGGAATTGCAACTCGAGCAATTCGGGACTGTCGTAGACGTAGATGGATACGGGGGCGTCATCAATAGCGCCTAAGGTTGGAATGGTGACATTAAGAACCCCAGATGCATTCACGATGTCCAGTAGGTTTACGCAGGGAGGGAACGTTCCTTCGTCGATATCAGCTTGGCTGGTGACTGTAGCGAATTGGCAAGCTGGATTGCTGTTAACGATAAGGAGATTGCAAATGCCTTCGGAAACCTACCCATTTGCTCCTATTCGTGCTCTGTCCGCTTATGAACGGTAGTTGAGGCTTTCTGCCCAACTGCTATGAAGAAGAAGGCGAGAAATGGCTCTGCATCTTGACAGCCCCTCAAGGCAGTGATGTATCTACGATTAACGTAGAGGGGTTTGCAGAATAAAAGGTACTCCAACACATCGTGCTCTATAGCCACTCACATCTACCCGCTGAGAGCCTACCGCATTTTTGAAAGGGTTGCGGCAACCTGCATCAGAGACCATTTCTTCTTTCGCCAATCAGTTCCCAATTCACGAATCATTAACCTATCAGTCTACATCGCCAATGGCCCCCAATACTACCTGTCAGTATTGAGAGGTCTTGGCTCGCAAGTCTTTGCCCTTTTACCTCGTATGAGCCAAGCTTAGCTCTGGGAGAAGCAATTTGCTCTGTATGCGCCGTATCGCCACGTCGTCGCTCTGTGCGCTCTGCCATTGAGTGTGAATCGTGATTCATGTCAGTATAGTCTGTTTCCGGATATCGCAAGCTGTTGACATAGTTGTTCGAAGTAGAATTGAATAAAAATCTCCATCAAATATCATGCTCTCAGAGTACAGCGATAGAAGTATATGCGTGTAAAAGCGAGACTGAGGGCTCTCTCGGTGTTATGAATAGTAGAATACTTGTAAATAAATCACAGGCGATGATCTGCTGTTAAAGAAGCCAACAACTTTTTGGTAATCGTGTATACGAACTTACTGCATGTGTATTACCTACCTACCTAAGTATTTCCGCTTTAGTGTTTAATGATGCTATAAAGATGATGAATGCATGTAGAGAGCAATTACTAGCGTATATTGATTATCTCTTATATGCATATACTCTTATCCACATATACTAGAACCCAACTTTATTTGAACATCTCAAACCTCAAACAACTCTCTGACTTACAGCCGAGAACTAGTCAACTCGGGACCCAATTGCGTAACACGACCGGAAGCCATCCTTTTCGGGATATCGACTGGTCCATCCGGGGTGGATACCTCCTATATTAGACTGCGACTGCGCCGACCGCCGGCTTTCTCTCTCACTTCGTCCTTGCCCTCCTGGCGCTATCAAACTTCGCTGCGATCGTTTCCACCAATTCCAACTCAAGACAATATAAATTGTCTATGGTAGATTGCGAGCCACCAAAATCAGCCACCTAGCAAGACGCTGACCGAGGTACCGGGGTTCGCCTGCTGTCTGCTCGCGGTGTCACCCAAGGAATGGCTTGCAAGCGGACATAGGAAGCCTTCTAACCGCAGTATAGATATCTGATGCGCTCCCTCCTTCGGCCGTTCCGATGACCAGGGACAGCCGTCTGTCTCTACATGCCTTCTAACCCTAAACCTACTGACCACTCTAACTATAGTTACTTCCCCGTTGTTAGCTCTGTGTCTCCTGTTTATCCTCAGACACTAGATCCTCTGACGCGAGTCATGTGCCCTTCATGGCACTACTAACATACTATTCGCGAATATGAAGTCACGGGTCATTAGTCTCTTGAGGGTATGTAGTTCTTCCGGTCTTCCGGCACTTGCTAGCCGCACGTATAAGCTCGTGCGGCTGTTCAGCTTCTCCGCAATCTGTATCTACGCTGCCCCAGATTCAAGGATGGCTGATCATAGGCGTTCTTAATTAGTTTTTTTATACGGTCGATATGCGATATCTACCTGCACCAGATAAAGACTAGAAAGGAAAGTGGCTGGTGATCGTCGCTCGATTTCATTCAATCAAGCTTACTCTCCCGCCATGTTATCTGAGACCTACTCTCCAGATGGCGGGCTAATTCCGTACCCTCACTCTCGTCAATGGTAGGAAAGCATGGTCTATCGACTTTTCGACAATGCCATGCCGATCACTGATCTTAGCTTACAGTAGACACCCTATTTCGACACGCGTCTCATTCGTCGATTCTAGTGACCGGCATACCTTCCAGATCAAGGTTAGCGCTTCGTCGTGGACACTGATGCAACCTCCAATCTGGTCAAGCTTGAATCATACATAATGCCAGGTAAGGTCCAAGCCTCCTCACATCACGAGGCGTATATACACATGAAACCCGTTGCTATTCTTGGTGAAATAGTAGCATAGGATCGTATCGCGACATAAGGCAAATTTCTTTCTCAAGGAGTCCTAGATGGGATGGTATGGGTTGCGCCAGAGTCTTTGACGCGCGCTAAATAAAAGCTGAATTGGAGCTCAAGGGTAGTTAGCTATATGACCTACCTGCGAGTTGATAGGACACGCGGGTATAAACCGCCTCGGTCAGCGAGCGCTGCACTCGGCGTTAATACTGATGCATGCAGGGGCAGCCTTAACTCTCAGTGCCTAGCCTGGTTACAGGCTAGTTTCTACACGTTTCAGGGACCATCTCAGGGACCCCAATCCTCTGGCGCCTGAATTAAGCTTTGTGGCCCGCTTGGCATCCCCGATGCAGCAACTCGCGCCATTTAACTACTCCAATCGGCATATTTTAGGCTTGTTCCTTGAAAACGAATTGTCACCTGAGGATACTCTAGTGCGATGCCTCGGGTGATGCTAGCTGCACATAGCTGCCATGTGGGGGAATCTGTGTGGGATATTGGCTGTCTTCTCGGCGACTGGCTATCAACGTGGAAGGGGAACTACTCAAAGAAGAGAAGGTCATGAAAGCTACATGCCTCCGAGGGCGGAGAATCATGTAATTCCGCCCTTGACCGTCTTCCGAATCCTGCGGTAGGTTAAACAACATGCGCCCCCGTGCACGAATAATTGGAGTTCAGGTCAGCTATCTAGCCTGGGAAGGTGTTAATGGCGGGCACGCATTCCGAAGCCGTGGTAAGTCTGGGTAGCAGTGATAACACCGCCGTGACCAGCCCCGAAAGGTCACCAGATGAAACACAGGTCGGGGATATAAGAGAGGCTGTGTGCCCATGGAAGAAAACCTCATGACTCTTCCCCTAACCTCGGCCATCACTCGAGCGAGCTACCGTCAACCCCTCAGCTCTTCGAACCACCAGCAGACAATATGCGTTCCGCGGCCGCCGCCTTAGGTCTAGCTGCTATGGCAGCAGCCTACCCGCTGGTGCAGAACCGAGCAGTTACCTGTGTATCTGGATTATACATGATAGCTGCTCGCGGCTCGGAAGAAGACCCTGGTGAGGGACCCCTAAGCCAGG